CTTTCACCATTCTACAAATGAAAATATATCTGGATAATAAATTTGTTGATTAGTTCATTCATAAGTTTCTTTATAGATTTCGTGTACAATATAAGGCGCTATATAGAAGTTCTATACGTCATTTTGACATAAATAATAAAGTATTCAATGCAATTCTCTGAGATATGAAAGCAGAAATTAAAGTAATTGGCTTTGATGAAGAAGTTGACCGGTTCTACAATTTGATGAATCTAAATCAAGTTAGAATCTAAAAAGAATTTTTTTCAAATGATTTATTTTAGAAAATAATAATCAAAAACGTTCAAGTTTAATGTAATTTTAGCTCAATATGTGTTGAATGGCATATTTTAATTTCAATAACTAACAATGAATAATACGAAATCTGAGTATAAGGAAAATGACTATGCAAATAAATTTACCGAAGTTGCTTTCAGTTTTGCTGAGGAACAGTTCCTTGCATTGATAATATATTAGGGTGGGTGTGGGTGTGGGTGTGGGTGTTGGTGTGCGTGTGGGTGTAGCTATTCTTCTAATCGACACCCACACCCACACCCTCACCCACCACCCACACCCACACCAACACACCCACACCCCACACCCACACCGACACCCACACCCACCCACACCCACACCCAGACTCCACCCACACACCCACACCCACACCCACACCGACACCCACACCTACACACCCACACCGACACCCACCCACACCCAGACCCCACCCACACACCCTCCGACGTAATCCGGTCCGGAATCCGTTAGTTAGGAATTCTGTGAAATACAGTTGGGTTCCGATCGGATTTAGTTGGGAACCCGACGAATTCAGGTGCGATCCGACATCGGATCCGATAGTTTCCGGTAGGATCTACAGATCGGATTGAATCACCTGGGATACGACACTGCATTCATTCCTTCTCAAGCTGTTGGAGCAATCATGATGCAGATATGTTCCGATACCGAAACGCGTTGTGTGATGCTTTGAATATATTCTCTTTTCACTTATACGTTTTATCTCACTCTCTACCATCACACCCTCTATTTTCTGATAATGGACACTAGATTTATCGGAGCGTTGAATTCTCAAGTAAATGTTCGTTTATTATGAATTATTTATTTTCTATTTCGTTCGTAGTTTTAGTTATCATCAAATTATAAAAATTGTATGAAAATCTCCATAAATCGTTTCGATTATGTTAGCGCCATATGTGAGTCATCGGATGGACATGCAGTGGAAGAACGAAAAGAGAGAAAAAAGCTGACCTTCGTGGGAATCGAACCCACACCTCCTGCTATCCGGGCAGTTGCCCTAAGCCAATTGGACTAGAAGGCGCACTCAAATGATAAGTTAGCGTCCAAGTGAACTATCATGGACGCTAACAGATTATTTTTTTTAAGTCTTTATTTTGTTAAAATGAACTTTCACTATAAGATGCTGAAAATTTGATATCAATTGATCTACATGAAATAAAAACATGTGTATTTCTAAGAAATTGATTAGCATTTTGATTTACATAATTGACAAATTTTAATGAGAAACAAAACTTAAAAATATTTAATATCAGTTGATTTGTGTAGTCCTAGGTAGTAAAACCATCCCGGAACACGGCCTGGCGCAAAAGCATCATCGTTCCATGCGTTGTTCCAGGCCATTATGTCCTTAGCCAGGAATTTGTAGCACGGCATCACTTCAATTCGCCCATGGCTGCGCGTCTTTACCTCGGCCAATAAGTCCACTAGCAAGTTGTACGAGTCTACTGGACCTCGATCCGAGCCTCCGCTCACGCCCCGTCTGTAGCGCAAGTTCTCGAACTTGCCTTTACCGAATACGTCCACGTACTTTTGCATTTGCTCGCAGATTAAACGTGCCAATCGCTTTAGCTCATCATTCTGGCTCGATGATGATGACAGCTCGTTGTTTATTGGCGCACGCACGGCACACACGGCTTCCTTATCCGTCGCGTTGGCAGCGAGCACTTGCTCGAAGCTAGTCACGAGATCGGGCCGATTCTGTATGAGCTCGCTACCTTCACCCTTCTTGAGGAAGTCAGTCCATTCGTAATTGGACACCACTTTGAGCTGAAGACGCCTCTGCAGGGCCATGAAGCTGAACACGAGTGCTACCATGTCCGTAGTGCTCTCCAGCACGGCCATTTGTGCCTTGGAATGACGCACTTGATGCTCGATCTTGGTCACCTGCTTAACAAACTGGCCTGTTGGTGTTGTGTTGCCCTCTAGCTGATAGATCATGCCTTGAAGACGTGCAAAGTTTTTCTTGCTAACGATATACGTGTTATCCGAGGAAATGTCGAGACGTGTTTGAAGCGTCTGTTTCCAGTTCTCGGACCAAACGAGTTTCTCGTGCTCTTCCAGCTTGTCCAGAAGTGTTTGCATGAAAATCAAACGCTGACTGTTGTCAAGCTTTACGCGGTCCCTTCGGATTCTTTTCAATATCGGTAGTAAGTATTCGTCACTATCGATCTCTTTTGACAGTATTTTGGATAGAAATTGTCGCATTCGAAGCAGGCGATGCTCATCGACACCGAGAGCGTTTTCATTATCATCAAGAGTGGCTTTGTCGTCTAGCCACATATGTGCGCTGTAGAGCATCGTTGACTCGACGCACTTAAACGCCTTGGCAGCAACATCCGGTGGCACTAGGGACAGGACGAGCGCAACTGCTTGTTCAATGTCTATGCGCTTCTCTTGTCGCATGTACCGCAGCAGGGTCTCCTTGCTTACCATGGTCGATGTGCAAGCGTTCAGGTTGTGCAGCAGAGTCATGTTGGACAGATCAGTCTCACTCAGTGGCTGCTTCTTCAAGTGGCAACATTTCCTGGTGACGGTTTCTCTGAGTGCTGCTGCTGATGTGGTTGATGGATATGGACGGATGGCTGGCTTGCCGTTGTTCATTACCATGCCGCACCAAGTCTGGAGAGTCGGCAACAATGTGTACTCATTTTCCATATTTGTGACAGTTCTTTTTTTAATCTTAAAGTGATAACTTTTAAATTATCGTTTCATTTATTATACATATATAAAATATAGTTTCGCAACAAAAATAATGATTTCATAATTAGACCCGCTTGCAAAATAAAATATAATTATTTATTACGTGTATGTTTCTTTTCTTTAGATTATGCAAGAGTGAATAAAATTAATGCTCTAATACTTAATATAATTATTTCATACTTATCTCATTCATGTACTATTTACTACACTATTAAACTATGTGTGAAAACACTATTAATTTACGTCATGAACTTTTCACTATATATTAGTTTCTTACTCGATGTATCTTTATTATTAATTCAACAATAACTGTATTAAGGTTACCTGCTTTCATAACGAACAGTAGAGAATCAACGATTCGCGTGGGTGCACTGATAAAGCATGAGAAATATGTAAGTAATGAGAAGAACACTATTGGATAAGCACTCGACTCTCTAACAGATCCATCTAAAAGTAAGATAATGAAGAAAGACATACACTACTTTTATGAAATGTATGCTGTTAATGGTTTATCTCGTTGTGGTGAATGAAACGGTGTAAAGCATATATAATTGACAGTTTATATAGGGAATAATATGAAATTTTGTATGGCTTGTGCAAGAGTATGAAATAACATCATTACTCAAGCTTGATAAGAAACATTTCTTTTCTTTCTCACCGTTAACGTCATTATTTACTTTGATGGTTTTATTTTCCCTTAGGGTACGGATGAGTGGGTGAGATGTTCTTCAGCTTGCCCCGATGCAGAATTGCACCCACATTCCCATGCCTAGGTATTCTCAATGTTAGTGGAAAAACAATTGATAATGATTTTGTTTATTTGGATCTTCGAAATATTTATTTATTTGTTTAGATTTTTTAATATTTATTTCATTTTATAACGGATCTAAATCAACACAAGTATATAGGGAAATTCTATGAAAATCTATACAAGTAATCAAGAAAATCATCCACAGATTATTATCCAAACTGCGAATGACGAGTATTAGCAAAATACGCCTCAAGCTACTCCAAGCCCAATCGCATCGATCTTCAAAAGATACATTATATTCATGACCAATGGGTATGAAATGCAATTCTTTAACATATCTAAAGTTATTTAGCTTTGAATTAAACCTCTCAATATTTTGAAATATGATATTTGAATAATGAAATAAAAATTATAAATGCGCTGCACAATAAATCATGCTTCTTTTTTTATATTTTGTTATTGTTTTTTTTTCTTTTTCTTTTTATTCTGTTCTTTTTTCCTGCGCGTGTAGTGCTCCTTTAGGGCTAGATTGAATAATTTTTTTTTGTTCTTTTTTATGTTCGATATCAAATAGCATAACACACATTTTAACCCATTCGCCAGGATGAGTCCCACCAGTGGGACCCGCTTATACACAGTTGAATATCTTCATTTTAGTTTATTGACATGACATCATTTCTTTCGTCAAACATAGAGAAATATTCAACATTTTTATTCATAAGAGAATAATCGATAAATGCTGCGTTAAGGTATGCTAAGTCGCTTCAATAAGAACAAAAAGATGAACAACAAGGTGTGAAAATAATAATGTATGCACCTCACAACTTCCAATCGTAAGAGATTTAGTTTGATTTAAAACCAATGAAAATTTATGTGTCTTTCAATATTCTGAAAAAAATCAGCCGAATTTGTTGAAACCGACTGGGTTTGCAAAGCTTTACTTATTCACAGTAACTGATAGAAACTGTGAGTCAAGTATATTTTTCTGAGAATCTAACAATGTCACACTATTTATTGAAGTCACTTAGTACATATTAACGTAATCTTTACCGATTATTCTCTTATGAATAAAAACGTCGAACATTTCTCCATGTTTGACAAAAGAAACGATTTCATATCAATAAACTGAAGTGAAGATATTCAACTGTGTATAAGCGGGTCCCACCGGTGAGACCCATCGCGGTGAATGAGTTAAGAAAATTGAAATGTGACACTGAAAGTTAAAAATCGAATAGCAACAATGCAAACAACAAAAAAGAGCGCTGGTAAAAAAAAAGAATATTGTGTATTAGCTTAGTCAGGCTAAAAAAGATATGTGAGTTCCATATTTCAGTCTTGAAGGAGTTGCGCTAACAAGCTTTTCGACTCATTCCTCGATAGTAACCGAAGAATCAGATTAAAGAATTTCGACTTGAAATTTTGCACATAGATAGACTTAATGACCTTTTAGAATATCCTAAAAGTTTTAGCTAAAAAGAATGTTCCTCTCTTCAGATATTAAACATTTGAAAAACAGTCACATATGAACGACATCTCACAAAGATGGAGTTCACTTGAAAATTCATTATGTCAATAAAGAAACATTTAGTTATGACATTTTCCTTTCTGTACATCCCGCCCAACACGTCCAAATCTGTCACACAAATCAAATTTGAAAGTTGAATTCAATTACTCAAGAATAAAAAAAACAAACTTTGTCCGCATAACTAATCTTTTATATCTACGTTGCGATATGGAACAAGGAACATTTTACAGGCTTCTCTCTGGAGGCATTTCCATAGACGGAGAAGTGCTAATGGCATATGGTGCAATTACAACATGTTATCTTTTTCTTATGCAATGCATATGGCTTCACTTATCTAATTTTCATATACAATCTTCGATAGTTTGTTTCAACGCCAACTTGTAATGAATACAGTTGAAGAAGACAAAAAGTCTGAAATATTCATTCAACGTACAATTCTACTCGATATTCCTACTCGATATTCCTACTCGATTACAATGGGAAAACAACAACGGTTACTGTGGTGAAACGGCAATACAAGCTTTCGGTATGTTTATGATCATTCTTTACGATACTAAGTAATTAAGTAGTTAGTTATCAAGTAATGCTCATTTTTTATATCCTTTCAAATTAATTTTATCATCTGAAAGAATTTTGTAAAAAAAAAATATAACTATTGACTATATTTTCATTCGTATTCGAATTTAGTTTCTTCTGAACAGCTACAAATCTTTGAACATTACTTTTTGATTTTGCTCAATTTCGTATGATAATGATTAACCATTGTTAGGTCTTTACTATGGTGCTTGGATCTCTCAAAAACTTGTTCGTGATATCAATAATGGAGAATATCTTCTGCAAAAATTATCTAATGATGATTGTCGAAATCCGATTCATACTTTGAGTGTTCTTAATTTTACTTATGACGAATGGAATTGGAAAACTTCGTCTCAACCTCAATTTTATGATTATTGTTGTTGGATAAAGAAATCTATCATACGAGGATATCCCGTAATGTTTGTTGCCTATCTTCTTTATATGCATGATGAATATTATGATCATATTATGCCAGCAATCGGTATTCGATTTAGAGACGAAAATAAATATGATCCGGATGATGTACTTATCTATTTCAATCTCTATCATCAGAGACTAATCGAACGAAAAATGAATAAAAATGATTTAGCAGCAACAAGAAAAACATGTCGAAAACATTGTGGTGAAGGTGGATGTATACCATTCGATGTGAGTAAACTCTGTTGGAATGTTTATCGTTCAAAATACTACGATCACATTGCTGTTTTCTTATTTTTTCTACTTCAAAAGAAAATATTACAAATCATTGTCTGATAAATTCCTAGATCGACTTTGGAATTGCTGTAACAGGTATTGCAGATGAAGATCATGTAACATTACCTGTACGTCTGTCTGCTTCGGCTTGGGATGAACCGAATCTACATCCTGCTTACAATCAAAGTCCAACCGAGATGAATGGTATCGTAACCGTACGTGATCTAATTATTGGTAGAACCTATGTTCTTCTCCGATATTCATCTTATGAATATGTACCAACAAAAGGCACCATCAATGATTTCCTATTGTCTAAATTCGATGAGAAGCATAAATTTGTGGCAAACGATACGATCTACATTTATGAAGATTCAAAGAAAATCCCATCAACAGGATCAGTTTATTATCGATGTGTATCACAATCTGAAAAATAACTCACCATGCAGTTAATTTTTGAATTTTTATTTTTTATTGTTGCTTTCATTTATCGTAAAAATTTAATTGTACAAAAAAAAAAGCAAACAGGACATTGAATATAAATCGACCTCGTATATTGATTAACTTTTTCCAAGATAGATATTCCATATTTGTTAATCGTATGATTATGTTTTATATAGTTTTATTGTTTTAAAAAATGAAATTCATCAATTGCTATGAATAAGTTTGACAATAAGTATCATTATCTTTCCTTTGTATCCAATAATTGAACTATATTTTTGAGAAACTTCTTTCTTTGTTGACACAGTTCGACTGAAGACTGAATGGAGAAGTTGAGTGTGAGTTCCTGCTCATCTTCATCCACACTCGCAAATTATTTTCGAAAACAATTCAACTAGATTCACATTCAAAAGATCGAACAAACTTCATAGTGAATGCAACTGTATGATAATTATCGGAAGAAAAAAAAATGCGAACAGCAAAGATCTTTGTGAACAAGATTTCGAAATAGAGTCAATCAAAACGATGACTAGAGGTTTGACTCATATGTTAGACCTATGAATAAATCTAGAATCTCACTCATATGGTGATATTTATATAGTTGCTCGTGTACCATTTGTAATATTGTGCGCTTTCTTGTGAAATGTTGTCCCATAGCATTGTTTATCTTGAATGAGGTTTCAGGTTTTGGATAGATTTGAAATCGTAAAGTCTGAACATAGCAATTTCTCCCTTAAAATGTAGTTTGTCGATCTTCAATTACAGACCATGACAGACACTTCGATCTAGCAAGAAGATAATATAGCTTCACATATTCAGATTGTATGTATGGCATGCATATCGAAATATCGAAATGAAAAAGAAGGCCAACTATATGAATAAATGCGAAAAAAGAATTGTCTTTTTTTTTGTATTTAGTTCTATTTAATTTTAGTCTTTTAGTCGAAAAATAGACTGACCTGGCTCTCGTAGAAGAAAACAAATTCAATCTGTAATCTCAACTTTTGCTTTACGGCAACTGGATGTGGATCTGGAGATTTACTTCATCCAAACTCATACTTACACATATCTTAATTTCAATTGCTATGTCATAGATTAAATAGTCTCATTACCTAAATTCTTCACGAAATCGAAGAAAGAAATAGGTCAAATTTCCTCAAAATTGCAGAAAGTTGATTAGAAGCTTTTCAAACCAGGGCAGAGTTACTTTCCTTCAAACCTTCGACTCCTCTGCTGGTCGTGTTATCACTGATTTTGGTAAATTGATAACAGAAATCTTATTAATTTGAGTCGATATTTTCTTTTTGATAATTATCAATAAAATCTAAGACATAGACCACACACGAAAAAAGAGCAACAATAATATTAAAACATGCTATGGATCGTTAAAAATGTAAATATTATTGATGATACAATCGAAATACATATTCGATTTTTTCTATGAAATTTCACGATATTATCTTCAAATTTTCAAATTATTCAAATGATATTTCATACTGATGAATTCATTTTGATAATAAAAGATCTTTGCTTATTTGTCTATAAAACTGAAATAACTTAAAAAATTACGAATATACGTATCTCAATTTAGAAGATTTAGGTAAACAATCATTCTTGCATTCACTCCTTTTTTTTCTAATGATTCATTCGATATGTCATTTTGCCGTTCTGTTTTTTTCTTATATGATACGTGGCCTTCGATGTTGATTCGTTCTGTTTGTCAGCATTAACTCATACGCCACAACAACAACAGCTACGAACACGTATATAACTACCACGTTTTCGAGCGTGTTCTCTATTTTTATTTTATAATTAAACATTGAAGTAAAGCGCATCAAGAATCTCTATAAAAAGAAACAAATGACAGAGACCCTATTGACAACGAATACACCACCATCCACCACAATCGTTCATATTAATGTCAAGCAAGAATGTCCAGTTCAGTATGTAACTGTGTACAATGATCGTGCAGAAGTAACACGTCTTCTTCGATATCATTTTGATAATGAAGGCACTTATGATCTTGTTCTTCAAGGTTTATCACCTAGTGCCGATCTAACTTCATTTCATGTTAGCGGTGGAACAGGTAAAGCATGTACGATTCTTGAAGTCTCCTATCAAACACGTTACGAAGATTCATCGATATCATTGTCTGACACAACACCACTCGATCAATTGCAAACACAATTAGATGTTATTCAAGCAGATATCTATGAACATGCTCAAGAACTTGATCGACTTAAAAAACAACGAACATGGCTCGATGGAAGAGCATCAAAACTGATGAATCAAGAAGGACCTTTGAGTACAAGTGACTTTGAAACAATGGAACAATTTCTTAACTTTTATCACAAAATGCTCAGTAAAATAGATAAAGAAACAACTCAAGAACAACGACAATTGAAAGAATTGAACAGTCGATGTAATGTATTTACAGCCAAAATAAATGAACATGGTTCACAAGCAACGACTAATCGACGTATAGAACAGCGTGAAGTAACAATTACTGTTCATGTAGCTAGCAGTAAAACTGATGTTGCCTTGGAAGTATCCTATTTAATCAGCAATTGTTCATGGAGTGCCAGCTATGATATACGAGTTAATAGTGGAGAAGGAATGCAACCAAAAACTCAACTTACTTATTACGGTATCATTGTAAGTATTGTTTTATTTGACAAGATTAATATGAATTAACAGAAATTTTTACATTTTTTTCATTACAAATGTTTGACATATAATTAATCAGCTTTTACAACAAAAATAGATGCTTCTTTCTTAATCTCAACAATTTTATATATTCAATGAATTTCGATCATTTTCATAGAGCACGAAATCTTTAAAATATTTAAAGAATTCTGATCTTATTTGAAGGAATAAAATATTCTCTTTTGTGTTGTCATCATTATTCCATGGTTTATATATTTATATAAACATTTTTTCAGGAATTTTATTTTTTTTCAAATCTTTAAAATTTCCAAATGGTTTTGTAAAATTTCGGTCATTTTCAAATCTATCTTTATATTTTTATTAATTGTTCTCTATCAACTTGAAAGGTAACAGTTTTGAAGTTATTTATGGGTATAACAATACCTTGAAATCGAATGAAAATTCTCTTATTTCTTCTTGATTTATCTTACCTAGAATCTAATTAGATTAGAGTTATATATATCTCTACAGTTTCGGGCAAAAACTTTTTCAATTTCGAGACCTTTTGTCTAAAACTACTCTTTCGTAAAACGCTTAGTTCAGTATCACTTACAGAGATTGTAACCAATTTTTAGATGAAATCCATTGGATAATAGTCTATAGTGAGTGATTCAGTTAAAAAGATCACTAAAAAGACAGCGATCGAAATTAAATTCAAATCAATAATATAAATCGGCAAAAATGTTCGCATTTAAAGGCTTTTTTCTTCATGTCAGATAATGACAATCAATTTTTTCAGTTTAAGAGTCATTTTTCAAACAATATGTTTTTTTTTGTTTATTTTATTGAGCAGGTATTTTTTTTAATTTTTGTTGTAAAAAGAAATTGCTCGATTATTTTATCCATTGTTTTATGTTAGGAACCAAAAAATGAGAAGGTTACCTTTCCAAAAACTCATACCTATTATAAATAAATCTCTTCATGTATTTTGTGAAGATACCACAACATTCATATTGTTGGTATTTTGTATGTTATATATAGGTCAATAAAAGTCAAGAGAATTGGTCTGACACGCAATTCTCATTATCTACAGCAACTCCATCTCTAGGTGGTGCCGCTCCCAAATTGGCCACACTTAAAGTCAACTGTCGTCAATACCATGGTGTTCCAGAACGCTTCATGAAATCATCTGCAGATGGTATATATACGATCGGTGCATCATTTAATAGGGCATCAAGAAAGTTATCGAAGGTACGTGAGCAAACATCGCTAACCAGCTCTGCTCATTCTTATAATGACGATGAAGACATGTCACAAAGCGTTGTTAATGTATTAGGATCAAAAGCTGAAATGAGTTTTTCCAGCACTAGTTTTACGATTTCTCGTCGATCGACTATCGATGCCGATGTAAGTCTCAATCTGATCTAATAAATCTTTGTCAATTTTAACATTTCTGTCTGTGAAAGGGTAAACCACACAAGTTGACAATTGGTGTGCTCGATCTCGTTTCGACCTTTAGCTATACAATTGTGCCTAAACTATCATTACATGCTTATTTGAAAGCATCAACTTTGAATACATCTGACAAATATCTTTTAGCTGGTCCTGCATCTATTTTCATGAACAACAATTTCGTTACGCATAGCTCAATTGATAATGTGTGCATAGGTGATACGTTTGATCTACCACTAGGTATTGATTCTAGTATCAAAATTGAATATAAACCAGTAAAGAAAACAAGCGACACTCAAGGCATTATTTCCAAAGTTCATCTCAAAACTGTTCGTCACGAAACTCATATTACGAATACTAAGACCAATGAAGTGATTGTTTTTGTTTATGATCAAGTTCCATTATCATCTGATGAAAAGATCAAAGTCAATTTGATTCAGCCAGATTTACGACGAAAAGACAATAATCTACATAATACTATAATAACATTAAAAGATACCAATAATTTAGAATGGAAATGTGTACTACCATCTAGAGGTGAATGTCGACTTCCATTTGAATACACAATCGAATGGCCATTTGACAAACAAGTTGATTTTCAAGAAGAACTATAACTTTTCTCTAATATTTATTCTTGATTATTTTGTGTACGATTTGATTAAGAAAATAAATGAATTTGAAATGAAATCAAAACGAATCTTGACTAATATGATATCTTTTATCGAAGGGGTGTGGGTGTGGGTGTGGGTATCTTTGTGAGTATGAGTGCTAATG